CCCCAAAACCCCAAAACCCCAAAACCCCAAAACCCCTAATATTTTTATAAAATTGAAGGAATCTTAGTAGAAAGGATCTATTCTAGGAATCTTCCTCACTTCTGCAGTTCTTTTCTACTAAGTTTCCTAAAATCATAGCTTTTAAAGATCCTGGTTCATCGGAGCCTTTGAGTCTACTTCAAGGGACTTTCCATATTCAAACTTCTTTACTCTGTTCTGGATCTTTGTGACCTCAGCCATAGTACTCCTGAGTTTTTCGATCATTTCTTTTTCTTTCTTTTCGAAGCGCTGCATGCTAGAGTAGTTTTGAAAAGAGTCTTTTTGAGTGTCCTTTAGTTTCTTCAAGTAAATAAACCTGTTCTGCTCATTATTCATATTTCTCATGCCTAGATTATCTGAAGGAGAAAGATACTTATTTTCAGAGTATTTGCATTCTTCTTATCTTCCAGTCTTTTCTGGTTGATAAGGTATCTATTAGACTTTTCAGCTTGGATCAGCTTCTCACTTTCTGCCAAGCGATTCTTTGTTTCATTGTTTATCAGGTTTTTAAGCGTCTTATTACTTTCTATCCTGGTTTCTCTTTTTAAAGCAATCTCTATAAATTTCTCTCTTTCAAAATACCTCTTCTGATTCTTTCTCTTTCCCTCATATTAATTTTATTTCCTTTTTTCAAGCTGTTGCTGAGACTTCAATAAATTTTGGTCTTTCCTGCGCTGTTCTCTCAATTTGTATTCCTAAAATATCAGAGTAATAGCCTACTTGGAGTTTTTCAAGGTTTTCTCACCTTCTTTTAGCATTTTCAATCTGACTCCTAGCTTTCTTTTCTTCCATTTCAAGTTTTTGCACTCTGTTGCGAAGAATTTTTAACTGAAAAGAGGAGGTCTTTTTCTCAATTAAGGCATTGAACATGTCAACTCCTTGTTTAGGTCCCTTTGATCGATGAATTCTCTTGATCAGTCTGTGATGGTGATGAGAAATCTTACGGTTGAAAGTCACTGCTTATTGAAATATCTGATGAATTTGTCATATTCTTCTTTCTATCGTCTGTCAATACACTTTATCTTACCCAATATCAACAGATTTGTTAGTTCTGCTATTGTTTAACTGAGGTTTTGAAAGTTCTACTTCTTTATCTGAATTAAGGGAACTCTAAAGCTATCAATGACTGTTGACAAACATCAGGCTTTTTGCTTCTTCCAATAGGATAATCTTGATTTTCTTCTAACTTAGTTTCACTTTTCTCCCTAGCAAGTCCAATTTTTGGCAATTTTGTTGCTTTAGTAGTCTTGCTTTCAGATAGCAATTCTATGTGATCTTTCTCACCTTCCTCTTGATCAATTTGGTCTTCTAAGTAAAATTGAGTTTTAAATTTTATTAGAAAGTAAAAGTTTAGAAACTGGAATAAAAAAATCAATGCTAGATGACTTTATCAAATATTATTAATTTTCAAAAATTCAGAAGTTCATCAGCTATTTACTGCACAGAAAGAAGATGAAAACTCAAAACACTTCAAACAATCTACCTTTATTATCGAAAAAATACGAATGTAAATTACCAGCAGATCTATTGACCAAACTTGCAAACTTATTCCTCGAAATCTTACTCCTCCTTTTCCTCCTTCTCTTACACCTCTTCTGATTCTACACCATAACCCCCCTCTCTTACCTCATCATATATCACATTGATAGATTTATACGGATGCATCTGCGACGGCAACAACCTTATAGTCCCTAAACCTCCATAACCCCCTTCTATCCCCTTTCTTACCTCTATTCCCACTCTTCTTCCCTCCTTTAGCCCTCCTGTTGGTTTCCTTCCTCCCAGCCTTATTCTTCATGCTTAGATAATTATAGCTTATATAGTTCAAATTAAAATTTACTTAAAGGGGTTTTGGGGTTTTGGGGTTTTGGGGTTTTGGGG